CCCCCCCCCTTCTACTATCACTCCTCCTATCTCCCGATCAACCAATGCGATAAACGAGTCTGTAAAAATAAAGAAATAACCTGACCGATACACACTTGTACTCGAGTACACCGTAGACCCCCCCTGGCCACTGAACGTCACGAACTACGGTAAAACCCATCTCCACCGACCACTTTTTGCTTTTACGGTAGCCCTGTTACGAGCTGTTATTCGGTTGATTGGATGAGTGAGGTATTGCACCTCCTCCTCTCCTTCACTCCCATCCCCTCGTCCCTCTCCCCTCGAGTTGACCGGCAATTTCGATAAAATGGACCTATTATGTGCACGTGGCAGGAGGCGGTGATGGGGCCTCGACGAATCAACTCTCGAGTACCAGATTGGAGATATGATGCTCCGGCGTGAATTGTGTGTGGATGGACGGGGGAGGAAGGAGGAGGAAGAGGGGGATGGGAGGGAGGATTGGGATTGCAATGACAAATTTGCTTTTTCTTCTCCCTCTATTTCCTGTCCTGGTTCTTTTCTTTTTTAGGTCTCTTCTGTTATTTTTGCAATAAGCCGCTTGCCCTTCTCGTCCACTTACAGATTACATGGGTTTCCAGTGTTGGAAGTGATCTACCCTTCCGTACAAGTCGAGTAAAGCACACGAGTTGAGGTTGCCCTTTGGAAGCACTGGAGCACAGGGAACCCGAACAAGGATCCCAAGCGTGCATGGTGCAACTTGAAGCGAAGTTCCTATCAATCATCACCAATCGTTCTTCTGCTCCTTCACCCCCCAGCCCTCCACTTGCTATGCACTCTGGTACCCGAGTGCGGTACGGTACTCGTACTCGAGTGCTGTACCTGTACGGTACCGCACCCTTCTGCACGGTCCATACGCTCATGTACCGTTTCTTCCGCAGGCGATGGACGACGCGGCCCCGTATCTACTTTATCCGCACTCTAACGTCCTTCGAGCGTGCTGAAACATCGTACAGGTCCCCTACTGGATCGAAAAGATGGAGGAAACAATCGCACACGTTGGCAAGGGAAAAAAACCGAGAACCCGTCTCAAGCGGTTTGATGTCGAGGAGCCCCCTCCCCCTTCGTTGGCGGTCCGCAGAGCCTCTGCCGGCACTCGCCTTTGTGATTCATATCCCTCGACTCCGAAAAAAGAAGCACTCTTTTCTTTTTCACCAACCGTAACCCTGAGAGTCCCCACGATCCAGCCTTTCTATACTTGTAAGATGTTGTACTGTATTGGTACGTTAGAGCTCTAGCCCTGTATGGTCCCTTGTATCGTCATCATCCTTGATTCATCCATCTTCGCAACTCGAGTCGCATCGGATTTTGACACTCCCGTGCCTTTCTCTCTCTCTCTCCCCGCCCACGCACACCCCCTGCTTCTTGGAAGGAAAAATAAAATAAAATACTCCACGAAAATTATGAGGCTACAATCACACGTGGATGCGGCTTTTGAGGAGGGGGGGGGGGTTGTGATCTCTCCCTCGTTTCGATAGGTCGTTATTGAGGTTTGGTCTGCAGCTACATGGGAGAGAGCACGCCTTCCCGTTTCGAAAGAACCCTTTTTCAATTTTGGTGCTATCATTCTTATGGGTAGGACGAGAGGGCTCTCGAAGCGATCGATATGGTAATCATGATCACCGCTACCGTAATCATCTAGGCACTGGAAACGAAAAGGGTTCGTAAAGGCATGGAATGTAAGCCCCATCATGGACCATCACCAGGCACACAGCATCGCTCAGCAAAATCTGGCGAACGCAGAAAACACGACCCAAAGAATCCGTAAGCACCGTAAACCACACGGGAGCGGTGCCACCCACCCAGCATCGCCGACTCACAGAATACGGTAAAAGAGCTAAGTTAAGTGCCGTATAATCCAAACAAACCTGAAGCGTGGAAGGCGAAGAATAGTTTTTCCGAGAAAAAAAAAAAAAAAAAGATGAAACGTAGCACGGTTAAAAAAGGATAGAATGATCAACGGTACATGACATCCCATCCCATCCCATCCCATCCCCACGGCGCGCCCCGTTGTTACTCGCGGAAGATCGGGGGGGGATGGGAGAATTGGAAAAGGATTAAAAATAAAGATTAAAAATAAGAGCCGTACAGTGCGTTCCCGCAGCTGCACCGCTCGTTACAGCGCATCGAGTTAATCTCTCTCTCCCTCTCTCTTCCCCCCCGGGTCCGCCGCGAAACCCTCGTTAAGGGAAGCGATCATGAAAAGATTCGTTCGCTTGTCATTCAGGACTATAGTACCGGTATCGGTCCACTGTGCACGTGTATGCCTTTTTTCGTTAACGGGTGCAGTGCGGTAAGGCTAGAGGTGCGGGTGTGTGAGTGCAAAATAGAAACAACTAAAACCAACAGGATAAGCATCGCGATCCCATCAGATATCGCCAAGAAGGGATGCGGCGAAGGACAGGGGGGGGGGAAGGTATGCAGGAATGTATCTGTGTGTGTGAGAGTGTGGTGTGCGTGTGTGCAAGTGTTGAGGATCGTTATGATGAAGAGGAAAAAGATGGGAGAGAAAATAAAAATGAACCCCTGTCAATCGTCTAAACTTAACACCCACAGGGTAGAAGCGATAATTATGGTTATTTCTGCTCACAGAAAAGCACACGGACCACACCTTTTTCCGCATCGGGTTGCGGGGTAGGGTTTTATTGGACCGCATCAGGGAAGTACCGGTACGCCGGGAACATAATAATGTGAGGTCTAAAAAAGAACTTGGGGGGGTGCTAAATATATCCCTTGAGCCAAAAGAGGTAACTAGCCATAACACAAATATTCCCGCATGTGTACGATTTAACGGTACTTTGTCACGGTTTATTTTTAACTCTAGTAAAAATACATCCCAATGTAGCAACACGAGGAATGGATCGAAACTAATCATGTGTCCAGATCCGTAGGTAGCACCCAGTTTCCAGGCTAATTGTGCTTCTTGTGGGAATGGCTTGTTTTTCTTCGGTTCTTTTGTTTTTCCTCCATCCGGCAAGGTTTTAGCTGCCTCTTTCCCTCTTACCGTACGATATAACGGTACCGTAGCGGAATCCCCCACGTCGGCTGCTCGCTCACTCACCCGCGAACCTAGTCTAGTCAGCGATTGAGAAGGTTTCGCTCGGATCGGATCTACCGAGCGAGACCTGTTGTGTCGGAATGTAAAGTTTAGCCTACCGGCACCGTACAGTACTGTAACGGCCACGGGTGTCGCTCGCACGGCCTGATGTGAGCGGGACCGTACATCGGTAGAGTACCGGCACTGTACTGTATGTACGGTACTTGACTAACCGATCCATTTCCCTAACCCTTTTCCGTCTCCCTTACCGTACCCTTTTTCCCCTCCCAACCCCTCTAGCTCGCTAAAACGCCGATCCACCGACAAACTTTCCTCGCCATCACACCACAAGGATCATACTGTACCGTACTCTACCAGTGGTAGACTAATGGAGAGGCGAGGAAAGCCAGCAATGACCGTCCGTCGATAAAGCTATAATACCACCTCAGGGCGTCCAATCCCTATCACCCCCTCACAACGAAGGACACTGTATACATAATGTTATATAACTAATTCCCAGATAACCCATCTCACCCTA